TCCAATCTTTAATTTCAGTTCAATCAGTCGAAAATCTAAGAAGATTTATACAAACTTTCATCCCCTATTTTATCCCCTTAGGGGTGGAATTTATCAAAATCCTTTCTTAGGGGATGCCTACGTCATAGTAGCTTTATGCATGCAAAGTCTCAGCCCGATCGGTTTAAAATTGACAAAGTTTCATACAAACATTCATCCCCTATTTTATCCCCTTGGGGGTATAATTGATCAAAATCCTTTCTTAGCGGATGCCTACGTCATAACATCTACCTGCATGCCAAATTTCAGCCCGATCCGTCCAGTGGTTTGGGCTGTGCGTTGATAGATCACTGTCAGTCACCTTTGAGTTATATATATTTAGATAGATGATGATCTGCTTTAGTTCATTTTCACAGAAAAGCATAATGCCTCACAGAAAAGCAAACTTAGGGCGTCGTCCTCGTAGCGCCATCTGTTGGACATAAAAGCCTTAACCTAGATTATATCTTTTAATTTAATTTATATGAATGTTTAACGGAATAATATACAGCCTATGTCCACCCTGAAGTTCCATTCTAAATATTGGTGAAAGAATTTTTGAAATCGGGTGAGTAGTTTCGGAGATTACCTTCTGCATACAAACTTACATACTTACAAACATTACCTCTTTATAACAATAGTATAGATAAGTGTGAAACTCTGTATTGTCTGTTATGCCAGTATAAGTCCTGATAATAGTGAATGCTTGTTTATAGAAGAAAATTTATAATTTATAAGTTTTTGTTTGATTGTACAATAATACATTTTTGTAATATCATTAAAAATGCATCTACTTAATAATTTGTAACTATATAGGTGCAGGTATATTTTAATTTTTACTGTTTTGTACTCAGTGCCGTAACTAGCAATTCCTGTGCCCTATGCAAGAATTTGCATTTAAGCTCCTTAATTAATTACAGTAGGTTTGGGAAAGTAAAAAAACAAATACATGCACTTTGGCCCCTCTTCCAAGTGGGCCCTGTGCGGGTGCACCTGTTGCACCTGCCTAGTTATGGCACTGTTTGTACTACTTGATTATTAATTTTATATTACATGTTTCTCTCTAAATAAATTTAAGGGGCGGCAATTTGTCTTTTTGTCGGGGGACATAAATGCTTGAGCGGACGCTGCTGAATAATTCTATTATAGAATAGAAAAATATTATAGAAAATTTTAATCAAGATATTTTTCGAATTCAAAATATACTTATTTTCAGTATAGTAATATTAACATAAGGGAGCGAAGCCCCTATCTAGGTCGAGAGCCAAGCAAGCGTGAGAAGCTTTCTACCTTACGTATCAAAACTTTCCTGACAATTTCTGTTCTTTGGACATCTATAATGGGTGTAATTATGAAAATCTTCTTGGTCAGGCCCATAAATGGACCGTGTGATGAAGGACATGACTAACTGTAAACGGGGCCAGCATATCCAAAACAGAATACTGCAAAATTCCCTTGGTTTTTTCCACCCACGGATTCCCTAGAATAATTTACTGATGCATTAAACAAAATCTGTCTGGTTTTTCCACAATATCAGTTTTAATTTTTGCAATGTTTTTTCTTAATAACTGCACGCTTTTTCCTAGTTTTGAAATTTTTCTCTCATTTCACTAAATTTGTTCGCTAAATTTAAAAAGGTTATCCTATTTTTCCATAAGTTATCCTTACAGTATTTTTGTTTTTGTTCTTTTAGTAACGGCAACGCAACACTTGGGCGATCTGCCTACTGCCTAGGGTGGATGCCTTCCGAGAGGTCTTTTAAGAGTAATTGACATCTATTTAGGCGTTGAGTTGATAGAAAATAAATCCGAATACTACGAATACGTCCAATATCACGCCATACGTACAGTCAGTGGCAGATGAAGTATCCAAAAGAGGGTTAACTCAAAAGTATTTGAATAATAAATAAGTATTTTTTATTTTTTTTTTAAACTCTTTCCGCCTTGTGGACACTAAGAGGGTCTCTTTTTGCGAGCCCATTATGGGTTCGGTCAGGTCCACAATGGGGCTGCCAGGTGGTGAAGGACGGGGCCCGACATATCCGAACGGACCACGCCCGAAAAATTTCTGGGGATTTTTCGACCCGTTCGCATTCGAGCCCGGGTTCCCCAGAGCGGTAGGCTGCCATCAGGCCGCTAAGTATTTTGTGAATACGGGGGCGTAAGGTTCCCGTTCAATTGTCAGGATGATGCGTCAGGCGAGTGAAAGGGAGAGTTGCTTGGGGTCGACGATAAGGTGAAGGGCGAGATCGAGTAAAGGAGTCTACCATATTTATAACTAATAAAAATAACAATTTATTAAAGAAGCAAAATGGACAAAAACTACACAAACAGCGTTTCTATACTGCTCTAGAGAGAGTTTCACAGTGCTTTCATACCTCTTATAGCCGTCCCCTTTGACGATTCTGAACTTGGATGCCTTTAAAATATCGATCCAAGGGAATAGGTAGTTATAATCCACAAATACGGCACAAATTACATATATCGCGACTTTAGCGATGCTTTAATTCGAGGTTCATCGGAGATCGGACTTCGACGGGTCGTCTATCCGGCGTTTGTTCAGAGACTCCCCTGAGAGGAGGTAAGAACGATCTTTTATAGGTTTTTGTGGGAAAGTTCCACCACGTGATCGGATGTTCATAGGTTAGGGGTTATAGGTGTTCCAGGGATCTACAACAACGGACGGCATTTAGATGCTAAGTGTAAACCTTCTTGCAAGATGAGATACAAGTTCTGCAGAGAACAATAGATGTTGCTAGTTATGACCGGAAAGTTTACACAATCACGGCTAAAAATCGTTTTTTCTTCTAGAGCGTTACATAAACAAAAGTTTAATTAATTAACATTTTTGTTAATAAAACAGCGATATTTTCGTCACAAAAATTCCGGATCTCACAATTTTTTATTAATGTCATATATGGACCGTAAGGTAAAGGTTACGGTGGGGACGCGTTAATACTAGTTTTGCCGCCAAAAATACGGAGATGAACAGGCGAGCAATAACTGCACGTGGTTGTCAAACAATATCGGTTAATTTATGAGTATCCTATAGCGTTTATGTAATTCTTTATTTAAGTGTAATAAACATCGAGTTTTCTTGTAAGATACGTGTCTTTTTATTTGATATATTATAATTAACCCGTGCATAATGGCCGAAAGGTCGCGCTACTTAGCCCACTCTTTGGGAAACCCGAAACCTAATCCGGACGGATCGGAAAATCCCAGGAATTTTTCGGGGTGGCTCGTATAGTTATATCAGTTCCCGACCCTCACAACACGGTCGCCCCATTGAGGGCCTGGCCGAGCCCATAACGAAGTTGATAAAAAGATCTTAGCGCCCACAGGACGTAATTTTAAAAAACATAAAATTTTGTTTTTTTTTAAATAAAAAAAACATGACAATTGCATTGCGGATGGTCCAATAAACCATATTTGCATAGTAAAAGTTTATGTTAATAAAAACAACATTTTAAAAGTTCAAACAAATAAATTAAAATTGTTTGCATTTGTATATATCAATGGTATTTTCTTTATCCGTCACTGCGTATAGACAGTTTCTTTAGCACTTCTGACTTAATTTCTGGCAAGAAAAGTAGCAGACTAGATCTTGGGTTGGTTTACTTTATTTGTTTATGGCAACGCGACACATGGGCAATCTGCTAAGGGGAATGTCTCCCGTGAGGTATTTTATGGAAACTGGTGCTTATTTAAGTATTACACGCGGCCACTGGTGGGCGAATAGATCTTGGACGTTTTCAAATTCTTGTTTTCTTAAATAAATACTTGCAGTATGAATGAGAATTAACGCCTCCGAAACCGTTTAATCGATTTCAATCATTTTTTGCACACAAATAGAATCCATCTCGGTCTAGGTCATGTAAACAGCATTTTAAAATTCGCCCTCTGACCGGAGATATACAACGTTAAATTTCATAATGTTAAGTTTATGGGTGACGTAGTGAGCCTCCGACACTAGCAAACTAATTAAACCTTAAAATATCAATATAAGTCACATAAGTTAATTAATTTCACCAAGTATTCGAGTATTTAAAATATTGGAATATTCGATATCTGGTTAATTAATATTCGTCTATCATTACTAATTATATAATAATTTCAAATATTCCTCACTTTTGGCGCTGCGATCTTTCTCTGTCACACTCCATGTGCGCAGTATTAGTCTGTATTTCGAAAATCCTAAATTCTCAATTATTTATTTATTTATTCTTTTGTTAATTAAATAGATCGATGGATAAACCGAGTAATTATCTAAATTTACATCCGGTACCTGATTCTAGTTTCCAGTTTCCACGTAAGTATTTTTTTCTATTTTTCATTCATTAAATCTATGGTAGTTAGGCCTAATTATAAACCCCAAGTTTATTTGATTTTTATATTCAATTATCTTCAAATAAGATAATACAATATCTTATAATTAAAAGAAAGCATCGTAATACATAAACACGCGAAATAGACTATTAAAATATAACAATTAAAGTACATAAAGTGATACTGTTTGAATTGATCAAAGATGCGAGCACGTGAGTTCTTTGATACAGTAGAGGTTACATTTAGTTTGTGCATACAAATCTACCTAAACAATTAGCTAAAAGTGACTTCTACTCTAACAAAAGGGGTAATGAACGAAATAATAAAGTTTTAAAGCGATTCGAAATTAGATGTTATCGTAGTAAACTTACATCATTCGTTATATAATTTGTAAGGTTATAAATTGTAAATCGATTTCTAAGTTCTTCGTATCATGTAAAGGGCACGACATGTAAATGATGCAATCTCTATTGGTGATTAATCACAAAGGATGCCATGTACTTGAACGTCTTGAAATTATTCTACGTCGAATAGTACTTTACATTAGTTCGCTTATACTGATAATTTGTTTTATATATGTGCATACATTATATCTGTCTTTTAAATTTGTATAGTTGCAAACATGAAACATATTTTTTATCAAATTATTATTAAATTATTAAAATAAAGGTAATTAACTATACAATTACTTTTATTTTCTTTAGAACACTTGTTTTTTTTAGTATGCAATGGGTATTGTTGTAGTTTACATTTGTAAAATAAAAAGAATGTAATGTTTATGTGATCTATCAATTATTCGGTCCTTTTAAAATTGTCAATTTTTTTCTAATCTGTATTGTTACCATTATATATATATTTTTTTATGATACTATCTTCAAAGATTGGTATTCTTTCTTTGCGCTCGTGATACAGTCACTTGCTATTTCCCTTGTGTGAGCCAACTGGAAGGTAATTACATTACATCAAACTCGCTATTAGGGACTGTTTGTAAATTATGGTTGCATTCTTCCCTAAATTTTAACTCTCCCTTTTCCTCTCATCTCAGTTTGTCCAAGTTTCCGTAATCTCCTCCCCTCTTTGGATGTCCAACAATTTCTTAAAACCTTTATTGCCTTATGTATGATAAATACCCTAAGTAGAAACAAAACATACAAGAAATTTTGAAATAAATATAAATTGTATTATGTCCACATTTTCTTGAAATTTTTACTTCCCCGCTCCCTCTTGTTTAAGTTTCCGCAACCCCCTCCCCTCTTTGGATGTCCAACAAAACTCAACCCGNGCGGTTATATATAGGATAACAGAGGAAAAGTATGGCGATCGGTCAAAAAAATGACCCCCCCCAAGATTTTTACATTTTTTGACTCAGTGCACTTTGAAATATCGAGAAATGAAAAAATTCTGGATTTTTCCTGTATATATGTGTGTAGGTGTGTGTAGGCCCTTTTTCTACTCTGAGAGTACTAAAGGACCAGAGAGTGTTGTGTTTGGAAGAGTGTATTGTTGATTAGCAGAAGGTGTTCAAAGTTGGGCTCATAAAATGTCCCTAAAAGGGCTTATAAGAAAATAACCTAGTCTCTTGTGAGGGAACAAAATATTACCTGTGTTTTGTTGTGTTTTATACTTTATTCTGCATGTTATATATTATGTTTCTGCTACTTTTTACTTACCATTTTCATATGTTTCAAAGAGAAATTAACATAAGAAAGTGTGGAGATCGTGAGACTAACGAACCAGACCTAATTTGTTATACTGGATTACCCAAAGCCACCGAGGAAAAGCAGCAGCATTGGGCAGTCTATTGATAAGGGTTCCCAGCAATTTGGAAAAGTAATTTCGAAAGGACTACTACAACACCCCTAATGTGTGTGAATATGTCATGATTCTGTTCACCCATTTTGAAGCTTAATAACTCCCGTGCCTTTTATCGATATTTTCTGAAATGTTGCAGGGAGGTTTGTGTATTAGAAGGATTCATGCTATCAAATTTTGGTGGTTAAAGGTCGAGGGAGTGGGGAAATAGAGGGAGATCTTGTATTTGTCATATATCAAGTGGGACGGACCTAATGATTTTATTCGTTATTAGCATTTATAATTTTCTTTTTATAAAACTCATCCCTACCCTCAAGATTAAACTTTTTATCATTTTATAATAATTAACAATATATAAAGTTTTTACTAAAATATCGTAACAGATTGCGCCACACAATTTATATTCTTTTGCCGGGAAAGTTACGCAACTCGTTGCTGGATTTTTTTTATTTTTTAAAAAGTTTTTTACAAATATCTTTACTTCACTAATAAAACATCGTTTAAAAATGTTAAATTACATTTGATTACATTAAATATAAATCTTTAATATTGTTTATACATGGATATAGTCGTAAATTAAAAAGAGCCAGTGGCTAACCGGCGCCCGGAGTTCAAATCGGCATACTTTTTTTTTTTACTCTTTCCGCCCTGTGGGCACTAAGAGGGCCTCTTAAAGCAGGCCCATTATGGGTTCGGCCAGGCCCACAATGGGGCGATCGGGTGGTGAGAGACAGGGCCGACATATTCGAACGGACCACCCTCGAAAAATTCCTGGGGATTCTTTGACCCGTCCGGATTCGATTACGGGTCCCCAGAGCGGTAGGCTGCCACCTTGATTGCTCGGCCATCCGAATCGGCATACTATGGAGGTGCCACTATCTAAGAAGTTTTGTATGAGAAAAGCGCGATTTTCTGGCACAATATCTGCAAAATGGCTTAAATAAGTCAAGAATGATTTATATATTCGTAATCGGCGCAAAAAAACTGTAAGAAATAATTTTCTCGGTTTTCTGCCCTAGATATTCACAAAGTACAAGGGCTTCGCACTATTTAAAAAAGAAGTATCAGGGCGGCGTCCTGATACTTCTTTTCAAAGCCCTGGCACGACTACAACACTGGTTTACATGTAATAACCAAAAATAACCAAACAGTTTTGTAATAAATGTTTTGTTTTTCCAGAAGGACACATTAATACCCATGTTATAGTATCCACCAGACATTTTAAAATAATTTAAAGTGTCCGCCCGACAATTTTAATACCCGAACACTTCAACTTGTCATAAACTACACTTTCCAGACATAAACAACATATGCAAACTTTTAAACTTCACCAATGTTTTTTAATTAACAATAGTGGTGATGCTGAGTCTTGATTTTATATATATGTATAATCAAGACTCAGCATCACAATTTACTTTTTTATGATTCGTTTGAACCAAGTTCCCTAAGCTATATTAACAATTAAAGATTTAAAATCCTTACTAAGATAATATGAGGATGATGTCATGCTACTTAATATTTTCAAGTCAAATATAAGTACTTAAGTTTTACTATTTTATAATTTATATCCCGATTTTTATGAAAGATTGAAAGAATTGTCATATAAAAAGAATTTTATTTCGATGTTATTTTCGTATTGAAAAAATTATTTGGATTCAGTATTTTAGCAATATGTTTAAAGCATTTAATGTTCAAATATTTCGCACCATTAACTCTCAGAATAATCAATTAAATATAATGAATGAAGAAATTCGAAAGCAATAGCTCATTGCTTATCTAGCAAATCATCATGACTTGACAACATTCTTAGTGACTAGGCAAATGTAGAGAAAAACTACTATCAACTATTTAAAAACTAATTTTATTTTCGATTTAATTTATCCACATCCTCATCTGTAATTTGAAATTATTATCTTATTGAATTTTTCCAATAACCAAATACTGTGTACTTTTTCTTTCTTTATATATATGATATTAGTAATTAAATTTTTTATTTAATTTTATAAGATTTTCCTTGACAGAACCGTAGAAAAAAAATGACAAAATTATTTGCAAACAGCAAAACTACAGTGTATACCAACTAAATAGATAAAACAGCTTCTATCAGCCGTAAAGCGCCTGATAAGCTCGCTCAAGACGGGCTCGGGATCACAGCATCATTCTCTCTTATCCGAATTAACAAGATCATCCAGAAAGTTGTTAATGACTGCGTTCAGCAGAGTCAACAGTTGTAACTGAGCAAAGATGTTTCAATCGGTTACGTAGTTACATCCGCTGAACGATGAGTAACGTATGCGTTGGAACAGCAAGCAGCCATCATTGGTCAGTTTCAGCTAGCGATAAATAGCGTAAATGAAAGACGCTGCTAAATGGCTGCGTTCTTTTATTCTTCCACGTAACTCCGCGCGAGTTGCATCCGTTTAAAAAATTCCTGCGGAACGCATTTCTATATTCCGGCCAGACTGCGCGCTGTCAGACGCAAAAACGGCCGCTTGTAGTAGTAGTTTACAGCAACATAACGTCCTCTATGGTTCAGATAGTTTTGGATTCCATTATGGGTTTTATGAATGAAAATTTAGAAGTTTTAAAAGCGCAAGTTAGTGCACGCGGTAATGTGTCTTCTCGAATTTTTTTCGAATGATACCGGCATTCTAATTTTTTCGTGGCTACTTTGAATGCTCTGTCGGCGAGATAATCTATTTTATGGTTAAATTTTACAATTGGGACCTTATTTTGTTTCTAAAAACGCATATTTTAAAATCGTAGATCCCCAATCACGATGCTAACGATAGTACGGCCGCCGCCATCTTTCTTTTCACCGTCGTTTCTAAATGCTCTAGTAGCGGAGACGCAGAGCGATCGCTATTAACGAACGCACTCAATGTGACGTCAAAACACCAAACATGTCCCGAAACAGCGAGCGTTCAGAAGAAAAATACTCAAAAGTTCCAGAACTGTTGAACGCAGCAGAAAGTATTTGATTCTCTCTACTTTTTCATATATAGTACTGTATTAGGAATTCTATGTAACTTATAACACACTTTAGAACATTAAAATTCATTATCACATAATTTTACTGCATTTAAATAATTGGTTTCCATTCTTATATCATTAATTTTATCGAGTAATCAGCGAATATAGCCTAATATTACCAGTCACATTACTTTCACTTTTCTAAAAACTTAGTAGGAGACCTAGCTGAAAAGATATAAACATTCTTGCTGCAAACTTTTTGAGTACTGTTTAATGAGAGCTGGAGTATAAAAACATATAAGTACCGTGTAAGGTCACGTGACTTTCAAAGTCTGGGTCGCTAATCATTTCTTGCCTTGTCTACTCGAGATAAAGACATACACGTGATCTATCCTGCTTGTTCATATACATTTTATGTTACTTTCTTTAATGACTTGTGTAATTGTTTCTCACATGTTGTTCAATAAAGCCTGATCATTTTAATTCTGTAAAAAACCTTTGACTGCCCGTTTATTAGAAAGTTCACCAATGCGAGGCTTTGCCAAATCTCAACAAATAAATAGTGTAAAGCCGTATAACCCTTTCTAAGAGTAGTGATCTTTTACGTGGACTGATGTTCTAAAAATACCACCGACTTAAGGGTACGTTCGTAAAGTCAAACGAGTTAAACGCGTTAGTAACGAATCGTTCGAAAAGTAGTAGTCCCGCTCAGTGCGCATGCTCTGCGATGATGACGTTTCAAACGAAACTCTAACGAAGTTCACGAAGGAAAGAGTTAGTTTACTTCGTTAAGAAAATGGCGCCCGACGATATGGATGTTTCTAAATCTACTCGATGTTTAAATTGTGAATTAAAAGGTGAAATGACAATGACTGAAATAACCGTCCACCCGAAGCAATCTAAGGAAAATATTTCGGATAAGGCTGCACTAGCAACATTCATATCTTCGATTTTAGAAACATCCATTTAGTTATAAACGAATCGTTCGAAAAGTCTAACGAAATAAGAATAACGATGACGTCATTCTCGTTTAACTCGTTCGACTTTACGAACGTACCCTAATAATAAAAGAATTTCTTTACTATCAGGTACTCTGTCAACGAGGGTTCTGCTAACGTAAAACATGGGAAAAAATAGGAAACTTGGATATGCTCTCTTACTTGTTAGAAACTGGTTCTTTATCCGATGCTCTGTTAAGTGGGCTCGACTGTATATTGTTTCATTAAACAATATAATTATTACTGTTTAAAAGATTTTAAAATCGAAAACTACATCTAAAACTAAACTGTAATTTTTAAATTAAATAATAACAAGGTTTACGTAGTGAAATGCAGATATCCATTTGCAAATCGCAAAAATTTAATCATAATCGCAGAGTTCGTCCTAAACAACTTCTATCCACTTAAAATTTTTGCATGTTTTACATAATAAAAGTACAGTACCTACTAACATCATAAAAAATTATAAATTTTACATTTATTTTAAATAAAATATAACATAAAAAACGTATTTCACATCAAACAACTTACACATAAATAAACATTGAATAAAATAAGCTACTTTCGAATAGTTTTATAAATGAAAGAGAAATTTTGTATTATTTTCATACCGTTTCTTTCTTTTATATCATAAGACAGTTTTGTTACTCTGGGTTTTCCCTGTTGTCGTTACTCTAATCTGAAAATATTTTATATGTTTAATATTCGATAAATGTGTTCGATTTATATACAGCGGTATGTGGTTGTGTTCAGCAGCTGTTATTTTGCAGAGAATTGAGTGTAACCCAAATTTTTATAACAGCTTTAATTAATTTTGTAAAATTAAAGCTTTTATAAAAATTTGAAATATTTAAAATAATGTCGATTATTTTCTTATATACAGTAATAATTTGAAGATTTCTGTTTTTCGTTGGTTAAATTATTAAATAATTTTATTCTCACTAATTAATAACAGTGTTGTTAACAATTTTTGATTTATCTTTGGTTCAAAATTAGACAATGATTGTAATATATATTTTTGTCATATACTAATAGATATGATAAATAGTACAGTGATGAAATCGCAAAGTAATAACGCATCAACATTTGGTATATTCGCTGATACAATCAATGAATATTTAAACGTGTAGAGACGGTAGACAACATAACCGGAAACTTAAAAACATCGAAATGGTTTATCTGAATACAGGGTCGGCTCTAGGGACGGATAACCCGGACATTTGTCCGGGGAGACAACTCTAAGGGCGGCATTTTGGTTGTGAATGTGACAAAATAAGTTAAATACTTATTTAATCGAAATTTATATTTATCGATTTTTTTCATTGGCTAAAATTACGATGCAATTTACATTTCGTATTCATTATTTTTGCCTATAAGCTAAGAAAATATTTGCATTCCATAATTCTGAAGAAAACAACCATAAAAGAGGGCTTTTGGGCAAAAGGAAGCATAAGCAACAATGTTAAATTTTGTCCCAAACCTTAGTGTCACCTTAAGAATACTGCCGATCATATCAATAACTGTAGCTAGTGGGGAAAGGAGTTTCTCTAAATAAAAATTAATTAAAAGCTTTTAACTACCACGCAAAATCATCTTAATAGTTTGATCATTTTGGCGATTGCGCATGAAACTGCCGATTAAGTAAACTTAAAAGAGTTAATAAAAAAGTTTTCAGAAGTAAAAGTGAGAAAAAGTTTCTTTTGATTTTAGTATAGTTGATGTAGTGTACTTTTGTTTAGATTTTATAGGTTACTAGCAGACCCCACCACGCGTTGTTGTGGCTCAAAATGTATCTATTATAAATTTATAACACTTCCCCCGTGGGGGGGAATTTTTTGAAAAATTTCTTCTTAGTGTACATTCTCTTGATGTACCCTATTAAAACGCAATCAAAAATGCANGGTAGCACTGTCATTTAGACGCCTATGCACTGATCGAAAATAAACATACATGCATACACTGTAATTTACTGTGTGGAGAACACTCATTTTATCTGTAAAGTTGATTGCAACGAATTGTGCAACAAATGAACTTGCCAAGACAGACTATAAAAAATTAATTTTCTATGTAATATTCTTAATTGCAAAGAAGCCAAATCTGGCAATGTTGCTCAGAACTGACTAAAGCGCCACTTGTAATCGTCCAATGCGCCAAGTTTGGCGCATGCGCCACGTTTTGGCCACCCCTGCATTAGACCATTGGTGGATTCAGTTTTTAGCACAACTGGCTTTTTATTATAAAACACGTTGATTTTAGGATTTGTTTAACGATTTAAATATTTCTTAAATTTGTCTTTGTGAAGCCTATTACTTTTTTCATCCAAACCATTCAATTAACTTACATATGTTTTAATATTAAAAAGTATCTTTATTTTAAACATTTTTTTCATTTTTTAAGGGAGTTGTCATTTATAATTGAGTAAAATGATTAATTAAAAATTGTATCATCAAAATTTAACTCTTTTTGTGGGATTTAAATTGACACTTACAATTTAATAAATTTTAAATGAATTTATGGGTGTGTAAATTTTACTTATTTTTAAAGCGTAAAATATAAATATGACTATAATTTTTATTAAACACCCTATACGCATCTTAAATGGCAGTTAATAAGGTAAAAAATATTTTCATGCAAGTTAGAATACACATTGAAACGAACCTTTCCAACTCCATGAGTTTTATAACCACAATCTTTCAAATATTGAGGTAGAATTTTCACATCTGTTGGTAATCCAGCTGGCTGGGCTCCCTGTAATACGAAATGCTGAAGACCTAAAGTATTTTTATATCAATAATTTTATTCATTAAAACTATATGTAAAAAAATATTGATAATTGAAACATATTTCTCTAGACTTTACCTGTATCTATTGGAAGTTTTCCAGTAAGTAACGCAGCTCTTGATGGAGTGCATATGTGCTGAGTATAATAATTATCTAAGACTATTGAATTGGCAGCTAAAACATCAATATTTGGTGTCGGTATTTGTAAAGAGCCGTGAAAACTTACGTCGTTCCATCCCTATTCATAATATTGTGGTTATATTATTATTAGAAAGTATAATAATAATAATAAAATTCAAAAGTTTTTAGTCGATATAATTAATTTTTAATTAATACTAAATAATTGAATGAAATATTTACAAGATCGTCGGCACAATAAAAGATGATGTGAGGTGGTTTTCCTTGGATGTAAGAGAGATGACCAAGTAGAACTATACAGATATTCCATTCCGTTTTGAATACCATTGGTAGCCAAAGATTTAATAGTTTAGCTTCGAATGAATACGAGTCTACTTGTTTTTGATACTTTCGGTTGATAAGACACACAATTTTCCTCCTTATCGCTCTAGTTTAAATACAGAATTGTTTTAGTGCTATGAAAAAATAAAAATCTGTTCTTGTACAATATTTTTAAACACATTAAATAGGTTTCGTATAGGGTTATAATTCATCTCAGTATTACTTTTAAAAAAGAAGGAAAAAAGAGAAAAAACACGTCCTTTTCATCAAAACATATCTGAAAAAGGAAATAATATCCCATTATTTAAATTTCGCTTTGATTACGAATCTATTAATAATCTTCCTAAAAAAGCAGAATAAATTATATAATAGATTAACTACAGATATCATAAATTAAAAGAAAAAAAGTGATAAAGAATTAATTTTCACAGATAATGTTGGCAGAGTTTAATAATCTGCAGATAAACTATAGCGGTTAATAAACGGACATTTAAATAAATATAATATAAAGTACATTCCACTGAAAATCTGCAGAAATTCGAATTTGGCATGAATTGGGAATATTAAAATGTTATGGGCGAAAGATTTGTAGGCTTAATATCTAAATCTAGCAGTAAAAAACAATGCACAGGCTCTAGACTATTTCAAGCTGACATGGCAAAATAAAATCCAGAATTTGAATAACTTCATTTCTTAAGCTTGTAACACCAGAAGTCACCGATCATTAACAATACACGTGGATTATATGAAGGTTCAGGTCAAACTACATGAGTTGACTGAATACAGGTAATTAAAAAGAAAAAAATCCTGGCTTGTATCCTATAATTTGTTTCTTCCTTCAATTCTGTTGTTTATAAATTATAACGTTACTTAAACCTGTTCTGCATAAATGCAATTTTTTTCCGCGAACAATAACTTTTAAAGGATCAACAGAAATTTATCCAAACATCTTTATGTAATAGTGCCGATTCCTGGGAATAGTGCCTGTTATCTTAAAATGTCCGGATTTAGTGAGCTCAGGCTTCTGGGATGACTTTTACGATTTTGTTTTGGAGTTTTAAAAAAAATTCTCATGGTAGATTTTGATGATTTTGATGTCAAAATGCTTAGTGAAATCCTGGCATGTTCATAAAATAATTTCTGAAAAATATAATTAACTCTGAGATAAGATATAATCAAAAAACTAAAGATGTTGACTTTTGCCTCTTTGACACTTAATAACAAAATTTTGACATTTTGGATGCTGTTTTTTGGAATATAAAGCCAGAGAGGTGCTTCATATTTTTGCTGAGTTTGGTGAATTTCGGTTGAACTATGAAAAAGTTATCTGAATTCAAAGAAAAAGGAACTAGGTTTACATTCTATGTAGACAGCTCCCATATACTTGCTCTCGCTGTTTTAGCAGCTGTAGTGGCAGTAGTACTGTCTCATTCCCACTAGATGGCACCTTTCACTAACTCTAAGGGGGGAATTTTCCACAATTTTCTCCAATCAAAATACTGAAACTTTCTGGAGTATCTTGCTAGCAGTTTCAGGTAGTGGCATTGCTTTGAAACCTTCTGGAACTGGAGCTCAAGATTGGACCTGTCCAGGAATGTCAAAGATTGAGGGAGACACAGTTCCCTCAATCAAGACAGGACAAAATCTGAAACTTGACTAGTTTTAACAAGCAACTCCAATTTATCAAAGACTTTTCTTGTTTAAATGTGAAATAATTTTATTTTATTATTTTTTTTATTTTTTTAGTTTATTTCTTTAGTTTAGTTTTGTTCAGTTTAGTTTACTTAGTTTAATTTAATTTTTCTAGTACAGCTGTCCCTTGATAATCCAACAGGTACAAGACCAAAGGGTTAGCGGATTACCAAAAGTGTCTGCATTACCGAAAGTGATTACATATTTGGCATTGTTTTGCTAGCAGTAGCCTACAATATTCCATACTCCAACTGTTCAAACAGAACTGCTCATGGAAAACACACGAAATGTGTGCCATCATGTAAGAACTGGGTGGGGAGATTCACGTCGCGACATGCTTTTGTGCAAGCAGACACGTAACGGGGACGGGTACCTTGACGGGAGGTGTGTCGGACTACTGAGCATGTTGGATTACAAAACATCGGACTATCAAGGGATGGCTATATTACATTTTCCTTTTTATATCTGTATGTTTCATCATATTTTTTTCTTTTATCAACAATAAATCACTTATAATCTTTTCTTTGTGACATATTACTGTTCAAACTGCTTGCCCCAACTAACTACATTGAGAAACATAATTTCCAGTTTCTTGATGTAACTTACTTTACTAGTGAATTACATTATTATACAGAATTACAATACAATACATTATTATTATAAAATAATGCATTATTTATTATTTATAGCTCTTTTTACTAAAGCATTATTTAAGTAAATAAAACTATGTTCATAATACTTTATTATTATTTTTTATTTTACCAATGTAAATATTTGTGACAATTATAAATTGATAATTGATAGACCATCTAAATACAGTAGAGCACGGGTTCCCAACCTATGGGTCACGACCCAGAAGGGGGTTGCAACGGGTTTTCTGTGGGGTCACCAACTTATGCAGTAAACTAAAACAAAATTTTCACTATAATGCAATATTAATTTTTAATGGTGTCTTAAAGTTTGATATTTTAAAAAAATTAAAATAAGTGTAATCTGGGTGCGCTATTCTGTCACAGTTGGTTGAATCATGTGTTGAGAGTTTTGAGATGAATAAATTAAATGTTGAGAATGACATGAGGTTGGCGTTAACAAAATCTCACCCGTGAATTTTGAGGCTGGTTAATAATACATGCAATTTCAACCATCTCATTAAATTAATTATTAAACATAATTTAAAATAAAATTATACTAAAAAACTAATTTCATTGTTTTTTTAGTTACCTTATTAAAAATAACTTTTTCAATTGTATCAGGGTCGCGGGTCACTTGGCTTTTATAAAAAGGGGGTCGCCACCCGAAAAAGGTTGGGAACCGTTGCAGTAAAGCATCGATTATCCGACTCAAATGGGGACTCAGGTTGGTAGGATAACTGAAAAAATCAGATAACCGAAAAGAATGAAAAAAATACATTATTAGTATAGTATATTAGTATATCCCATGTAATTAGTATATTAGTATATCGCTATTAACCAACTTTGCGTTGAATTTTCATCGATGTTAAGCCTAACAAATTTTTTTTTTAAATAATAATCGTCCCTAATGTATTGTTAAAAATTATTTTAAAATTATTTTATTGCTCACAAAACAAACAACCACTCATAATTAGAAAATTAAATCTCGTTTAAATACTAGCCTCCCTTCTATGGTCGAGCCGTGTTGCCAGCTAAAACACACAAAAGTTTAACAAAAATAATATTAAAGAGTCAAGACATAGCCAAATATTGTAGTGCCTATCACTAGCGGACATTTGAAATTTGCCGACTAGAACGGTCGGTTAACCGATGTGATGATTAATCGGGGGTCGGATAATCGATGCTCTACTGTATTACTAAAAACGCTTCTTTTTATTTTACGAACCAAACTACGACATTATCTGCAAATGATTTCAAAACTATAAAAAACAAATTTGATTATAAATAGGCACTATTTATAAATGATTTTTCAAAATTAATTGAAATTTAAAATTTTACTAATTTCATCAATTGGCATTTGATTTATAAATAAATATATGTACATATAATGATAAATTGCTTGTTTCGTGATGATCAATATAAATGAATGCATTTCATTTTCTTCTTGAAAGGAACAGCCTTTCTTCAATTCTAATAATGTATTCGCAGATTTATAGATTATCTGATAAATTTTGTTAATGAATTTTTTTTTAATTACTAAACTGAATAAGACTAAGATAATTCCAAGGATAGAAATCAGAGTTTGGACCTAACAATGTTCTGGTCCAAATTAAAACAAAATGCATAGTCATACTAAGAGTATTTGTTTTAGTATAAATAAGCGTTATTTAAGTAGAAAATATTTAAATGTTTATAGAAAGCTAAGTAAATATTTTTCTAATGAATTTAAAAATCATGGATTCCGATTTTTAAATTCAGATTGAAAGATTGAAGTAGTAATTTGATAGTATTTAATGTTCTAAATTACTGTGAAACCTATATAAACATCTACAGTTCAATAGTTATATTAAAACCAAATGAATACTGGATTAAATCAGACTATATTACCATTAATATTAATAATTAAATACTGAATATTTTGGCCTAGAGGTAGGCATTAGGTGCCATTTCTTAATAAATTTAATAAGAACTGAACCCACAATAGTGCTTCGGGATTGAAAGATTGAAGTAGTAATTTGATAGTATTTAATGTTCTAAATTACTGTGAAACCTATATAAACATCTACAGTTCAATAGTTATATTAAAACCAAATGAATACTGGATTAAATCAGACTATATTACCATTAATATTAATAATTAAATACTGAATATTTTGGCCTAGAGGTAGGCATTAGGTGCCATTTCTTAATAAATTTAATAAGAACTGAACCCACAATAGTGCTTCGGGTTTGAATCCTGCTCCAGGCCAATTCTTTTCTTCCAGAATTTTCTAAATTATTTAATATATATTAATTTAATTATAATTATTAAGTTTAATAAGAAATAGCACCTAATGTTTCAGACCAAATTATTCACTATTCAATTATTAATGGTAGCAGTCTGATTTAATCTGGCAGTCATTTGGCTTTATTGTAAAACCATTTCTGTATAATGATTTGTTTAGAAAATTAGAAAATTCTTAGAAATTTTACATTTATAAGAAAAATTCATGGAATTTTCTTTGAATCAAACTTTTTCAGTAATGACTTGTTACAATTTTAAACTATTTGACATACAGTCTACTTATAATCTTTTCTCAAAAAAAAGGCTGGTTAACTTTTTCAAATTATTACTAATTTTTTGTTTTAGACAAGATGTGAAAACCTAACACACTGCAAACTTTTCTGATGATAAAATTCTATCATTAAAATAAACTTTTGCTAGTGATATAAGAGATTGAGTGTTACTCTATGTTGTTAATTCACAAAAATTTAACAGGTTCAGCATAACAA